GTAATAGCTTTGCTTCTGCCTCTCAGTGACAAAGTCTTTCAAGAACTGGAATTACCAGAATTACCAGAATCCCTACAATTCCCTGAGAATCACTCAGCCATCACCCTCGAGTACACACCATCCAGCAGCAGAAAATCCTGCGTAGCCCTCACACAAGTGATGACTCAGAGTCTTTCCGAGCCATCGCTACAGACTGGGGAACTCATTTTTCCCTCCAACCTCCCGTTTTTATTTTTTTTTTTCCCCAATACAGATCAGACAAACAATATCATAACCCTTAAGGGAGAAGATCCTAAGGGTGGCTTTTAAAGATTAGAGGGAGGTGATTCAGCTTCTCCACCTGTAAAAAAACTTAATGTTTTATAAAAAGAAAGTTATTGGTAAGGAATAGCTGTTGATGTTGTGGTATGCCACCACACAAATGCTTAACAGACAACACATAATTGCATTATAATAACAAGCAGCTAGTATTTAATGTGTATTTAATGTGTACCTGAAGAGAGCTGATGTTGTCAGGACAGAAAATAACAGACACCAGTAATCAGTTCACAGAAGGCAGACAGTACTCAACCGAGGCCTTCAAGGCACACACTGAAAGCTTAAATAAAAGGTTTTCATGTGTAAGCAGATTTGAAAGTTCAAGTTTATAAAGATGTTTGTAGTGAGGTGTGAAAATGAAATTCTCCAGGAGGTATATCTACAAGATATTTATATAGTTTAATGTAAAACTAGGTCAAGAATAATGGAGGTCAGCACAGTTAAAGATACAAAGTGCCCAGACCAATCCTGGAACCTATTCTGCAATTAATTTTATTATTTTGTTGGTGTCTGGACTAATGACACAGTGGCTTTATCTACATATGCAGTGACTACACTTCTGCTCCCAGCATAAAGAATAAATCTGTATATACTTTTGAGCTTATAATAAGCATGACTAATTTATACAGTGCAATGTATATAGACAAAAAGTGAAAGTTTTTAACTGAAAATTTAATATCATTGTGTTACTGGCCAAAAAAATTATTTATTAGCACTGTGCAGCTTGTCTCTGCTGACAAACAGGTAGAAATAACTCATATTTACATTTCTGGATAAAAGCTGCTAATTTCTTGAAATAAACATTGGAATGTGACTAGCAACTGACTTCTCAAAAAGCCTGTCTGCACAGATTTGGACTCAGCCTCTTTGCAATAAAACCAGACCGTTTCTGCATCTTCAGAACAGCAGTAAATGCAAATCCAGTTAAAGTTCCTCCTATGACATTGACTGACTCACGGGTATTGATTTTTCTGAGACTGAAGAGTGTAGTACTTACATGACTCAGTTCACGCAGCACTGCTGAAAATGTGACAAATACTACATTTTGCTACTCAGCACACCAAAATAAGGGCACAAGTAAAATTCGAAAGTTCAGGTTTTGGGTAACGTGAATTGTTTTGTACATGGTCTACTGTGCTTGTGATATTCCAAGCAGTGTTTTTCTTACAAGCTTTGACACCAATAAATACTCTCTTCCCTTACTGGAACAGATCTAACGCTATAACATCTGGTTAGCCTAATAATACCCACTTCTGAGAAAAATCAGTGTTATGCTACCAATACAGTAAGGTTAGGTTTCCCCAACTCATAAATCTGTTTATACCCCATATTCAAGGATTAGCATTGTATGAACATCTGGTCTGAAACACATGCAGAACACAGGCTCTGAAGACACAGATGACAGTAAGGATTGCTGAGGTGCCTGAAGTTCAACCATTCCTGGGCAGGGCTTTACGGTCACATTTCTCTGGGTGCACGTACTGAAAATGTGAGGCAATAAATTAGGTTATAATTTAGGTTAACATTTCAGAGGAAAACAAAATGCATCCAGGTTCAATATGCAGGGAGAACTGGGGAGTTCTCTAGCAGACTTAAGGACTCTACATAAATCCTGGCCAAAGTTCCCTTAATGAAATGCCTGTAATATTTTAGCAAGGATTTGAGTTTGTTTTGAATTATCTATTTCTTTGTTCCTGCGCAGCAAGTAGTTCTTCACCTTACGTCTGGATCTTACTTAGATCTCTTCACCCACAAATCTCCATGCCTTAAGAAGAGTTACCATCTTTTGTTCCCATTTTATAGACAGGGAAATAGACAAAAAGACTTCAGATATGGCTCAGAGTGACTACAAATCCACAAATCAGTAACCGAATCAGTGAAAAGCAGGTATTCTGCACTCTTTGCCAGTGTCAAAACAGTAACATTTAATGATGTGTCTACTTGAAATAGGATGCAATAATAGAAATACTAAAGATCCTTAAATTAATCAGCATTTTCAGGTCTTTTTCACTTTGAAGTTTTAAATACCAAATGGGAACTGAAATACCAAATGAAAAACTGAAATGCTGAACTGAGAAGCAACTATATTAAAGTGGCATCTTACTTAAATATGCTGACCTGAGTGATTATACTATCAGCACTTTTTTTTGCTCCTGCTAGGCCTGGAGCACTAACACAGCTGAGAAGGCTGGAGACGAACATTCTTGCTTCTTGTGCATTACCAGTAGAATTATTAAAATTTAAATTAATAGCCTCTAAGCAATCTGTGGAAGTCAACAGACATGACTGAGGTCATGATCAGAAAACACTTGTCTCTTAATACTTGTGTCATGCTAATTTTTCCTACTGAACAAACTTTAAATTCCAAGGGGAATAGGAATAAAACCAAAGCGGCTTCTCAGAGGACTTACAACTGAGGATATTTCATTTTGTCAATTTCAAAACACGGGGGAAAAAACTCACCATTTTTGCACCAAAAATTATCAGGAAACATGAAAGTTCAAAATTAGTTTTATGTTGCTCTTGGATTGACAGTCAAAATTTTATTTACTTGCATTTTAAACAGTATCCAAAACTGTATTCCTCCTACATTACCCACTACAGGTAGGGTAACACTAACCACTAAAGGTTCAGGAACTGTAGCACCACTGAGAACTGAACCCCAACTGCCCACAGACAGCAGTGCCAGCTGCTTGCTTATCCTTTTCAGTCACACTAGGAGACCAAAAAATCATTCTTATTAAAACTATCTATATATGAAACAATCTTTGGTTCAGGTATAAATTAATTTTTATCTACTCACCAAAAATTAATATATTTTTTCCACAATTTTCTAATGTGTGATTTTCTTAAAACTGTGAGGAGGGGGAAGAATAGAATCAGAGCTAACAAAGGTTTTATAGGAGCTGTGAACCGACCTCCAGATTCCAAGACAAAAGAACACCAGCAACTACTTCTACTTAAGTATTGTTTTAATTTTCACTTCACAGCTGTAATCACTAAACTCAACATTTTTGCACTGCATAACAAGCTGCTATTATAGGAAGTAAAATACTCTAATTCAACACTCTGAGTTAGAGACTCATAATTAGATGAAGCATTACCCAGGGTCTTCTGTGCCACCATCATTTGGCTTCATTATTCCTGATGTTTTCATATGGTTCATGGTATTTGGGAGGATCAAGCTATGAAAGCAGCCTTTTTAGTAACCAACTTTGAACAGCCTCCATCTCAACCCTTGTAACATTCTTCCACAAATTCCCAAAGGATGCCTCATAGCGCTGGAGCAATCATTTCAGGTCATAAAAAGATAAAGAACTTTAAATAACTTTTCATTTTTTCCAGTAAGAGAATTATTATTTATGCTCTTAAAATGAGAAAGACTTTGTACAAAAAAGTCTGGAAAGATCTGTTTTTAATTACATATTTCAAAACAGTTATACAAGACAATTCCACTGCTCATACTCAGTAAATATATTAAAAACTTAAGAGACAAGGAAACAAATAAGCACACTAGTCTAACTCGGATGTTTTCTGGAAAAGCATGCCAAACAATCTGTCCCTTGTGACTGAAAACAAAGAGGGAGAAGAAAAGGGAGAAAGAAAATGAGTTTAAGCAAGAAACTGTAACGCCCCTTTTGATCTTGCATGCAAACTGAAAATGAGAAGAAGTTTCGATCATTCAGTCAACAGCCTTATTTAAAGATCAAAACAAGCCTGAGCAGTTTAAAACCTTACTTCATTAAAAGAGAAGCCACACACAGTCAAAGAGTTAATTGAATGGTAAGTGGGATGTTTTCTTGCAGCTTTGCTGAAATGATAGAAACATCATTATTTATGAACTGTCCTGTATTCTACAGAAGATAATCGAGGTGCACTTTAGAGAATTTTCCACAGTCTGCCATTTATTTTCAAATCTTCCATTACCTACCCTCCTACCTTAAGATCTCCAGGCTGAGTTTTAATAATTTGCTAAATAAATTATGTAGGAATTAAAATCTTCCAGTCATTTAGAAACAGAAAGCGCATATAGTATATGGTGACAAGATCTTCAAAACAGAATTTGAAAACACGTGGCTCAAGATATTTGCTAAGGAAAGCCTTCTGTTTACCTACAAAATTAAAAATACCAGTGATGAAGTTCTGCTGCAATACAAAAGTCTGTTAGAACGTGTAGAGCTTTTGCTGAGACTATACAAATTCTAGTCTTTAACATATGTTTTCTCAGCAAGTGAATCCATTTTCCCCATCCTTTGAAGATGCCACAAGAGCTAACAGAACCATCCAAAACTTTGCTTAATGAAGAGGGAATATCATCCAGGGTTCCTTAAATTCCGCACTCATTTACTGAAGGAGAACATTCAAATCTCCCAGGATACAAGAAACAAGTTTTGAAGTGTCATTCACTTGTTTGAATACGCTAATTTGAATACTCGTATGTTACTATGATTCACTGTATAATTGGCTAATCATTTAACCGTCCTAACAAATGCTAAATATTTGAAAATGCAGGAGGGCACAGTAGATTAACAATCAGAAGGGTACTTAATGGCCAACTGTTTGATTTAAAATTTCTGCCTGTTGTCCACTTTCTAACCATTTAAAATACCTTAACATTTTATATATTACCCTGCTTTCAATTAACTATCTTGCCATGCAACACAATTCACATAAGATCAGAGCTAATTTTGATCTTCAATTACATATGAGAGATCCAAAATCAGATTGGCTGTCTCCAGAGCTACCTGGAGGCCACTACACTTTGCAGCAAAACAGTCCAATGTCAGAAAGTCAGCAACCTTAACTGAGGGCGCTTCAGGGCAGCCCTGTATAACAGGGGAGCCAAACTGGCCTTGCAAAAGCCTCCAGTTGAGATTCTCATTGTTACCATTAATTCCACAGCCACATTTTGAAACTAAATCTGACCAATTAGAGACAGAGGGAAAACCTGATGGAACAAGCCAACAGTGTCCATAAACTGTGTCTGTAAGTATTTCTCCACCATCATGATTCAGAGAGCAAGCTACAGACTCCAGGGAACGGCAAAAACCATCAGCAACCAATTGGTATTGTGTCCGAGAACAATCCATGTCTTTAAAACTGGTGGTGGACAAACTACAACTCTAAAAAAAAACCAAAATCAGAACATTAGAACCCTTACAGAAGTAATTTTATACATACATAGTACCGTTTTCTTTTTAAACAGATGATTCAAACTTAACTAAAAAAATTGTTCATGTGATTATTCCATAATAGGAAAGATTTCTATGGAAGTCAAAGCTGAGTTCTCAATGGTTATTTTTCAGCATAAAAATTCTATACTTTTTAAGCGTTAAAATAAAAATGTAAGCATTTACTATAATATCTAAAGAAAGATTAACAAGTACACATACAGTATTAACAAGTCTGAAAGATGTAATTAGCACCGAGTCCTTCAAACAGACCCTTTGTTTTATATTAGTAGACATCAAATATGCAACATTAATCTAGAAATGTGTTTTAACTGTAGCAGTGATTCTACATAGTCTCGTTTCCTAAGCATACCAAGCAGCTTTAAAAAACCTTGTGTTACATACCTTGTGTCTTACATACGAAGCCAAGTGAGTTTCTGTACAGCCACCTCCTAACAATGCCAAAGGTTCCTTGATTGTTAACTGCAGCACATGTTCTGCAGTTTCACAGGCGCACTGAAAACCATATGAATTTATCATTAGACCTACCATGATTAATAGGATTTGCCCCCATTGAAAAAGCTACTGGAATAAGATTCTCCGTAGTTTCTGGCACAGACTTCATAAACTTGAATTACATGTGGATATAAAGCTGCTGATTGACTTCTAAAACCATGTTTACTTAATGAGAAATTGTCTTTATTTGTCCACACTCAGCACAGAAAAGCAGAAATTAAAAAAAGCTGTACTTTATTCCTTCTTTTTGCAAGAGAGGGTTATCTATAAAAAGTCAATTAGTATCAATGACATTTCTAGAGCAACTATTCAATGCAAAACTCTGCTTGACTACAATTGCAGGTATTGCTGCTGGCCTTCTAGTAGGCAATTTTTTCTTTATGCTCTCATAGACTAAGTAATGAGAAGGGAAATGTTTATCCAGCACTGGCCTCAAGAACAGGTAAAAAATGTTTCTGTCTCTAAACAACTTCCCATATTAAAATAGAGGCATTAAATGAACCTGAGCACTTCAAGGATTTTGAAATTCTGGAAACAAGGGTTTTCTGAATTGCTTTCTTGAAACTGTATATCTAAACTCTAAACTCCATTTACGTACTGAAAAATCACTTCTCTAAACTCACCGTATCTTTATTTCTCATTACTTTTTTCCACTCGAAATACGACTTTTCAAGAAAGATTTCAAGAAAATTTGCCTACCTTCAATTCATCCCATGCTGTTTCATTTCTGTTACAGAGTATCAAGCTGCAGACAACTGCATCCTTAGGAATTAGATGCACAAAATGTTTTGAAGCAAAACTCTCAATGCTTACATCTTTCAAACTGCCATAACAACTAGGAGACAACAAGTGTATGGAAGCTATAGGCTTTGAACCTGTACAATTAAGAAAAGCAGACAACAGTATGTATTAGCATCATCAGAACAGGTATCTGTTGCATTTCATAAAGCATGAACTTTTTTCCTCTTGGCTTTTTACATTAGATATATTCTTCAATACCTAACATTTCAATCTACACAGGAAATCACAAACAAGAACCAATACATTTTCAAAGTGCAAGACTTAGTGGTAGTTTAAGATAAAAAAGTAATTGGCTTATTCTCATTAAAGAGTTTGAAAATAATCTACATTTGCAAAGTTACTCTAATTGGATAGTCCTCATACAGTAATCAGTTATCACACGTGCAGTATATCATTAGAGCCTGCAAAAGACCAATCTTACCTTAAAAAATGGTTTTCAGACTAGAAAAGAACAACTCTTGCTCAGCTGTGAAGGCAGGATACAGCCAGAAATAAAAGAATCCTTACTTTGCAATGACACCAACCTAGGTAGGTTATCATTAGGAGATGAACGTTAAGGACAATTGTTTAGCACAGAAAACTCGTTACCTGTCATCTGACTCAGGGGTTCCATCAGAGATAGCCCAGCTCTGTCCAGAGCGATGACATGGTTCTCTTTCAGATACTGTTTCAGAGATGGATGGATAACTTTCTGGCACACTACAAGGCCAACCTCATCACTAACCAGCTGCTTTCCTATATTAAGCAACTGATTCAGCTCCGACATTTCTAGAGAAATTCCGTGATGGACTGTTATAGTTCCTTCCTCAGGGTTGGACAGGTCTCCTGCCATGGACACACAGAAGAGGGCTACCTTGACCAGGTCCGAACAGGTTCTTTTGACAGTAAGTGGTTTTGCCAAATGAATTTCTGGAGTTTCTATCAGTAGTCCGGGAAGAACTGTAGAATCTGCAACTCTTCTACCTTTCACAGGTACTATTACACACTTTCCTAAAACAGCATTAGTCTCAACATGACATGGAACAGTAAACAGAAAAGCCTTTAAAATCAGCGCAGTGAGATGATCAACTTCTGGTTTATTAAGCATGCAAGCAGGCTTACTTGTTAATACGCTTCGTACCAAACAAAGAAGAGTCTCAACACTGCTAAAATCCACGGAAACTCGGCAACCACAGGCCTCAGATTTGAGGTAGTCCATACACAAACTCAGAAGATGCTTGCTTATTTTAATGACAGTGCAAGGTGCCACATTTAGGCTTTTAAAGTTTTCAATCAAACTACAGCAAAGAATGGCAGTAAATAAGCCACAGTCACTGAAGCGGGATATATGGTTCTGTACGGAGGCCATCAAAACACTTAACACAGGATGACTGACAGACAGACGACCGAGTATAGCTGAGGATTGTGAAGTTGTGCAAACATAGCCTCCCATGCCGTTGTGGAGCTGTTTGAGTCTACCAGCAGGACCATAGCAAGATTTTAATATCCCACTCAGCAGAGACAGTGACTGACTAACTGCATCTTTAGTTAAAGGTTCACGAATAAATAACGGAGGCTTTTTAGCTTCAAGACGAGACATTTTCAGAGTAAGATTTTAATTCTGGCCAACAAAACAGATTTCATTTTGACTTGGATCTATAATTCATAGCACTTCTTAAATTTAAAGTAGTACATTTTAATTCTTCGCAGCTAAGGATTATTACTTTAAATGTGAAACAGTGCATTCCTGTGACAGCTCACAATCTAGCTCTTAACATGAGGCTTGCATCCTATTATGAAATTGATACAGGACAACAGCAGTAAGCTATTTCATTCATGATGATCTTTTTTAGCTTCTGAATGTGATCGAACAGATTTTTTTGCAACAAAGTTGACAAGCATGCTTCCAAAATGGACACCTATAAGTGACAGTCCTGCCACAAGCAGAAAGTTCTTTCTACTCCAGCTAGCTTTCCTCATCTCTTCTGTCAACAGCCACAGATGAAAAGCTTCAAAGCTAGTTATACCTGCAATAAAAACCAGAAAGGTATTAGGATAATCTTATAACAACGTTGCATAGCTTGAACTGCTATTTTATTTTCACAAAAAAGTCACATAAGGACAAATACCAAACTATAATGCTTTTTAATTGAGAAAACCTATTCATATTACATATACAAGCACACAGCACACAAATTATACATATTTGTTAATAACTTCAATTCTGACCATCAGTTTATATACTGTTTTACTTGTAGGTCTAAGTAACAGGCTGTTATAAACTGCACTGAAATGTATGAAATTGTTAAAACTATAGTGATGTTAACCTCTTTTTACTCACGAACACAAGAACTGAACTACTCAGTGCTGCTTCCCAGGGAACCACTTCAGCAACAAAAGCTCTTCATGTTCAAACAACTTTAAGAAATCTCTGCCTCTTAAATAAAGGTTTCTCACTTCAAGATGCTCAACATCGAAATTTTTTTCAGTTCTTAAACACTTCAAAACTTAAAGGGATATTCATTTACATTTCTATGTAATCTCTAAGGTATTTAGACTTCTCATACTTAATTTTGTTTGTTTTCTATTCCAATTACAATCCCTACTAACAACACAGAATATGTTACAATGTAAAGCCACAATTATTTCTGCACAGCTCTGAACCTGAAAGGATGTTCTACAGATCCAGTCACAAGAGTTTGACTGTTGCCTTGATGTTATTGGAGTTTGTCATTAAATATCTTTAAGACCTATCATATCATCACTTCATTGCTCCTATCACATGGGATTTAGCAGTAGCTTTTGAGATGTATGATGCATTTTTTGGGTCCATGTAACTACCAGGTTAACTCAGTTACAAAATGAAACTCTGGAAGACTAAAGTTAGAGCACGAATACTGCATCTGTTAGAAAATTCTCATTTAATTGACTCATCTCCTGCCTCAAAGATACAGATACAACTAATTAGGCAACTTACCCACAATACACAGCACTAATGCTATTTTTCTTTATTTTTGTGATCACTTTGCATCACGTATGTCACAATCCCAGGTTCTGGAACAAAGTCCTGTGTCTTCACTTGGAAAATAGGACTGGACTTGATGTGAAACCACCCCCAGTGCACCAGCCCAAGGCTAGTTCCCATAACAATCAGAACTTTGTAGTCCTTCCAGATGGTTTTAAGACCCATTGCAAACTGGCATCTACCTAGGTAAAGACAATGTATTATTTTAAATGTATTCTAGAAATCCTTTCTTTTTTTGCTCTATAATAATAGCACAGAACAGACGAGCCTGAATGTTAATATATTTAATTACAGTGCAGCAGATGATTAAAACACAAAATGACACAAAAAATTCTTACTTTGTGAACTTCAAATAAAAAAGGCTATAAAAATAACCTCAATTCAGACATCTTGAAATGCTAATTGCTGCATTTATTTCAAGCTTTGGCATGCTAAATCTTAAAGCTTTGTTAGTTTGTTATGTTTATCTAATTACAAATGTTACTGCTTCGGATGGTAAATATTTGAAGTCTAAACCAAAGCAGTTTCAAAATACACCTTTTTTTCCCCCACATAGTTAATAAAATTCAATGACTAACCGAGCTCCTAACAGAATATGGAACTTTTCACTTGCAGGCCAAACAAGCTGCAGTGCTTCTGACACGGTTTTATGTTACCCAGAGCAGCAGCTATGTCTCAATACCTTAGCTCTCTTAGCCCTTGATGTTCAGAAACTACAAAGCATCAGTACAAACATAGTAAATACATCCTTCTCTAAAAAGAACGTGTAAGCCCCTACTTTCTGTGGAATTTCACTAAGTTACCAACTACAGCAGAGAAAAAGATAGGTATACTTAGGTTTTGTATCAAAACGACTTCTCGTTTTAAACAGCTACAAAGGTACAACTCAAAGACTAAGTGTTCTTACACCTGACGGGATGAACTACTAACCACCCTCCAACTCGTAGTATCCTCCTAACCCCCACCCATCACGCTGAGGAGATTCCACAGCTTCACACCACTCGGCACACAGGGCACCGCAACTCAGCAGCCCCAC